GAAATGAGTGACAAAAAATATTGACCTTTTTCATGATATAAAAATATTTAAAACAGCTATTTCATATATATTCGGATACAACAGTCATACATCGCTATTAGGACCGCAAGTCCTGTGACAAGTTTGCCGCATCAGAGCACGAAAGTTATCAGTCTAAAAGGTCTGCAGTCAACGGTGAAAATCAAAAGTAGATTTATTTTAAAGACCAACAGTTTAACACTAAATATTGGACATAAACGAACATGTTAAATATAAAAGTATTTAAAACAGGTAAGTTCATATATTGGGAGTAAATTGTTAAATTGAGTTAAAAAAGTTAAATTGAACAGATACATCAGTCATACAGTGCTCAGGACCGTGCGCCCCATGACGAGCCCAACGCGCCGCCACAAAAACAAGAATGAAATGCATTCTAACATAACTGTGGCATTAAACTCAGTTAGTGAGGGCTCGGTTAAAATATTGCACATATATAGGCCGTTCAGATTACTTGTAAAAATGCAATGAAATACCTTATATCAGCAGACGATGTACGTCTGTGTTTGTGGTTGGAGACTCCTTCACCGGCTACAGGCTCTAATCCTCATTTGCGCGAGTGTGAAATGCAGTGCTGAAGTGAAATAGCGGGGCAATTTGATAATAATAGCCGAATTATAAAAGGCCGCCTAATAATAATAATACTACTAATAATTTAATACATTTATAGGAGAACAGGGCTTGAAAACGAAACAAAAATTCAATCGGTTCACTCCATGCAGAATCGATATTTTAAAGTTTCTGTTCCTGTGTTCCTCTGTATTATTACCGGGTTCGGGTAGAAGAAATACCAGTTAATAACGTTATTTTTTTTAAAACAATTTTCTTTGCCTATAATAATAATAATAATAATAATAATAATAATAATAATAATAAAGTACAGCGTTTTCTTTACTCAAAAAGAAAACGAAAAAAAAAAAAAAGAAGAGATCTGGTAACGTAGCATTGCATTGCGCTTAGTCACAGCCAATACAGCAACATCTTTCTAGATTTTGGCCAAATGTAGGCTACTAAACAAAAGAAAAAAAAACTATCAACACTTTAAAGACATTAAAGTATTTTTAAGATATTTAAAAATGTTTGCTGCAATATGCAATGTGATGAGGTCATGTGACAGCAATTTACCATACACATTTTTTGTATTCAGGGCTTGAAAACGAAAAAACTAATAATAATTCAATCGGTTCACTCCGAGCAGAATCGATATTTTAACATTTCTGTTCCTGCGTTCCTCTGTATTATTATCGTTCCGAAACTGGTTTGCCTAGAATAAATACCGGTTAATTATGTTATTTTTAAACTTTTTTTTTGCCTATAATAATAATAATAATAATAATAATAACAGGCTGCAATGTTGCAAAATATGTTGTGTCTGTGGGCGCGTGAGGCGCCGGCGCGATGTCGTCATACCAACACTGGTTGGTTATACAGATAGAGAAGCAAGACATCATTCAAAACCGTCAATATTTGCAAAATAAATAAAACCGTAAAATAAATAAAACTGTAAAGCTTTTGCAAAATAAAGAAAACTACTTTCTACTGTCTCGCTTTCCTTTCCGAGAACTTTGGAGCGCGTCACAATGAACCGTAACTCAGCACATTTTTTCTTTCGTTTTGTTAATCTGTCAATGAATTAAGTGAAAAATATTTTTCGTGTATATGCCTATATTCCTTTTTATGTAAGCCTATAGTTTTATTCTGTTTTCTCCATTCACAGAAGCGCTGCAGTTGCGTGTGATCTGTTGAATCCTTCTTACACTATCCTCGGATAAACTTTAACGCCAGTGCTTTGCCATTGCGACTTACCTATGATGAGTTCACAGCTGAGCAGGCATTTCACTCGTTGGCGTCAGCATTACATTTGCATAGACCGTACTACTGGAATTCATGATTGGTTGACAGCAAATTTCAAATATTAAATGGAACGATAAAATAACGTTATTAACCGGTTGATGGCCATTTCAAATTTTCGATTCTGTTCAGAACTATAACATTTGATTTAGTTTCTGTTTCTGGTTCTGTTCCTGTCAAAATTTCGTTCGTTTCTGGTTTTCGTTTTTGTTCCTTGAACCGGTTCAGAGCCCTGCCCCAAATATGAGTTTGTATTCCACAATGTGAATAATGGCATTTCCATTCCAATTAAATGTAGATACATGGTTGCTTTGCTCTCACCTGTGTGTCCACCCATTTCACTCCATCAGGGTGGTGTTCCACTCGACCATAGACAAAGACATCTGCTATCGTCGATATCTCTGACTATTGTCGATACACAATACTATCGTCTATCGGCACAACCCTAATGCGATTTTTGTAACCGCACGTGCTTTGGTCGCACATGCCCACTGAATTTGTTTTGTACTAATCAGTTGGGCCGTTGTTTCACTGTAGAAAACAAAACTAAAAAGACCGAACAATGTTAACAAAATACTGGAGAATGCAACAACAGATACCAGCATTGAAAAGAGCTTGTTTGAGAGAGTTATGAGATAGCTGCAACTTTACTTTAAAAGAGTACAAAGATGTTTTTATGGATAACTTTTGGAAAAAATAGAGCAGACACTGGACAAAGATGAAGCTTTCTATGCGTACAAAAACGAAGTATACTTTGGGCTTTAGTGTGCTTCCTTTAGTTGGTGGCAGATTTCAACTGTGAGCAAGTGTGCTGAACCTATCCTGAAAAGTGAAGCCAAAACGTTTCCCAGGTTCCCCAGGTGGCTGGACCCAGTATAGTTCATAAACCCCATTTGTAATCTAGTAGGAAGTGAGAAAAAAAAAAAATCAAATTACACTTCTAATAAATTTTTTCCAAAGATGGTTTACGTCATTTTAGGTAGTTCTTATCATGCTGATGTATGTTCAAGTGTTAATTTTTCCAATACATTTGTTTTTAGTTAGTTATTTAATGCTATAAAAAAAACGGGGTGTGGTGTCATGATTGTGATTTTGTGTTTGGGTCTGTGGGAGTTTGGGTTGGACTTTGATACTGAGGCTCCGCCCCACGATCACTACTGCGCAGACTCAAGCTCCAAATGAATCAATACTGCAGAGACTCTGGCAAGATGACAGCGCAAGATGACAGCGACCATACTGAGATGTTTTGGCTTCACTTTTCTATAGTCCCAGGGACTTCTTATTTTTATTTTGGGATTAATGCATGCTAATTAATAGTTTTTCCGTTATCATAGATTATAGTAGGGCTGCACGATTAATTGAATGTGATTGTCATGCGTATCTTGTCAGTAAAGCCGGTTCTGTGTAGACTTGTGCCGGTATTCGGTAATGCGATATATCACGGTAATGAATATGCACGATATTGTTACCGTGGGCACTTCTAAATACCGTGAATAATTATATATTACAAATTATTCCGAATTTTGAATGCATTTTAAGAATACTTTTCCCATCAACTGGTCAAAATGCACAACACTGCTGTATGCTGCGTGAAAGACGTGTGCGCACTCTAGGCTTGCCGCAATAGACGGTGTTGACGGTGCTACCGGTGTTAAGTCGCAACACCTTACGTCACTTGCCCATCGCGTCACCGACCCCCACCGTCGTTTTGATTTTTTATAGTAATAAAAATCATTTAGTTCAGTAAAAGAACAGACACTACAATTAAAAACTGAACGTCCTACGTCTAAACACACATATCCGATTCTCCACAGAACTCCCAATGCGAGGGCGACACGTTTGCTCATAAAGATTTTTAATGGCGTTTTAATGCCGGCGTGCTCAAATAATAATGGCCATTCGACTTGAATTATATAAATAATTTTAACGGCCATTTAAAACCCGAGGGTCTACCATGTGCATAGTAAAGCGATCACTGCAGACAATCCTTTTGGGTGGGAATTAATGTAAACACAGATATCGGATACCAGTCGTGTCTAAAGTGAATGTAAACAGACGTGCCAAAAAATCGGATATGGTCAAAAGATCGGATCTGTGCATTAAGACTTGCAGTGTAAACGCAGCCTAACAAGAAGAGTGAGGTGAGGTGAGACAGACAAGACGATCGCGGATGATTTAGTTTTCGAAACTAGATGCAAAAGCGCCTGTTTGGCAATATTTTGGATTTTGAAAAGCCTGTTGACTTTTGCCTCTTATCTAAGGTGATTTTTGAAGTTTTTTTAAACATTCGTTTTTTACTTAATTGGTTCCACATTGTTTGCTGATTTTTACTTTATTTAAACTTTGTGTCATTTATTTATTTTATTTGACATCAAGGTGTATGCCGTGCCTCCAAGCTTTCTTACTCGTTTTGCTAATAAACTTTCTACTTTTCTTATTTATTTGGTTATATATATGTTTACTTAGATAATACCGTATACCGTGATAAAAGCATACCGTGATAAAAGCATTAGCAATTAATCGCAACATGAAAATTTGATACCGGCATATCCCTAGTTCTGTGATTAGTAGTAAATCTCCATCACGTGCTTTCAGATGGAGCAGCGTTTACTACACAGAGCCGTAGTTCACTGACAAGCTATGCAAAATCTTGTTCATAATCGCAGACGATTTTATCACCTTTTTGATTTAATTTTGATTAATCATGCAGCCCTAGTTTATAGTTATATGCTAACAGAAGCAGGATTAAAGGTGCTTTAGGTAATTTTTTTTACTCTTCTAAAGCCAAAAAATAACATAATATGTTTGTAGATATTAAGGAAACTTTACGTTTACATAGCTGTTTCTCTGAAAAATAATGCCATAGCCAGTAGCATTTGACAGCCACCTTTGCGGTTGTGCTAACGAAGCGCTCGTACTGAAAGTGCCTCTCTCAGTCTCTTCAGGCAATCAGTGAAATCTGACTCCTGCTGCACTGTGCTGTGGCTCTTACAGTCTATGTGTGTTAGCCCCTCTTTCCTCCCCACTTCATCAGTAAGTGTTCTTGGACATCATTGATTTCCTTCTCTTTATTTGCAGGGGCGTGATGGGCTGCCCATACCAGGATGCTGGCATAAGGTATAATTATATATGTGATATGGAGAAACTATGAGTCCTGCCATAAGAGTGAGGATATTGCATTATGACTGCAGTAACTGCTTCCTTTTTGTGTCTTCTAACAGTTTTCTCCTATTGCTCTCTTGCAGTAATGACTAACCTGGAGCATGGAGTTTGTACATATTGATATATATTTTGCAAGTAACATTTGCTTTTTCTCCCAATTTTTTTTGTAATTTCTTATTTAATAAATTGGGTTTTCATATGGGAGCCCCTGCAAAATAATGTCTGTATCGCTGCATTAACAAAGAGAGGCTCTCCACTGCCACAATAACAAGTGTAGAAAAGCAATGAAGCAAGCATCATAGGTGCTGAGACTGTACTGATATTGAGAAGAGACATGAACTCGATGCTTGTGGATGCACAGAGAATGCTGCTGCTGTCCTTAATGAGAGAACATAACCCTGAACTTTCTAACAGACTGACCACTGTGTCTGCAAATGATTACTTCTTCACTGGCTGTCTTACTTTCCTGGGCGCCATTTGAAACAACCAACCCCATCCATTCTTCGCTAAATGTTTGCTTTGAAAGGAAGAGGCTTCAGGCCAGGGTGGCAAAGCCAAGCACCCATCTCAGCCCTAAAGACACTGAATGGGCTACATGGAGGGAGTATGCTTTGCCAGTTCAACTGGATGCTTCCAGTGAAAGGGCTCACCTGTACTACAGGGAGGAATGCAATGTGGATGTTGCACTGGATTTGTACTGGTGTACATATGGACAAATCTGTACTCAGGAAACTCTTTTCACTTGGTCAATAGGAAACGACTTACTGTCTTTTGCTCTATTTCTCACTAAAATACACCAGTGGAGTGGTGGAAAAAAGTAACTGATATCATGTAAAGTTGTCTTAAGTCTTGTCTGTTTATAAGATCCCTCATAAACTAAAACAACTTTGGTCTTTTAGACTATTCATTGTTTTTGTGGGGTTGTCTGCATCCTCAATGAGCATTATATGAAGTGTATGTAAATAAAATGGATCATTTTTACATTTAATTACTCATTGTCTGAATAACTCTGTACCGTGCACTGTTTTATGTTCAGTTGCTTTCCCTTCACTCTGTAAAAAAATTTAAAAATATGGAAATGTTTAATTACAGCAGTTTGTCTAAGAGAAACATTTTTAACGCTCTTGTGCTCTAAATGTACTTTACACAAGTACATCAATGCAAATGTTTCTAGCCTCACAAGTCCGTTTCATGTGCTGTGCTGCCAAATGTGTCCGACTTTAATAAGCAAGTTTGTTAAAGTTGACATGTTTATACTTGGCTACCTTATTACCATCACATCTGGAATGAAAACAAGAACCAATGTGAAGTTAACTCTAGTGCCACCTTGAGTACTGAGGTGTGTTACTGCCACAATAACGCACATTAGGAATGTTAAGAGATCAAACGCTAATGACTGAGTTAAGCTATATTGCCAAATATTCCTATTTGCATTCATGTGTAAAGTATCTTTATAAAATCAAAGCAAACACGACATTTGGTTTCCGTAGCGTAGTGGTTATCACGTTCGCCTCACACGCGAAAGGTCCCCGGTTCGAAACGGGGCGGAAACAAATAGTTTTTCTTCTTAGCCTTTGTTTTACTGCCTACCTTTACTGATATTTAATAGTACAGTACCTGTCAAAATTTGGAAAACATTACAATTTTCTATTGAAATATATTTTAAAATATAATTTATTCTTGTGAGGCAAAGCGTTATTTAGAGCAGCAATTACTCCAGTCTTCAGTGTCACGTGATACTTCAGAAATCATTCTAATATACTGATTGGCTGCATTTCTTATTATTTTTAAGAAGCTGAATTTCTAAGAAACATTTCTTAATATTTATTCAGAATAAAATATTCTATAAAAGTGTTTTACAGTGTGCAATAGGAATGTCAACGATTAATCGATGATCGATTAATTGTCGATAAGAGATGCAATTGATTAAAGCTATCGATGGTCGATTAAGCAGTTTAATTTTGGCCTGTGTGCGGCTCATGCGCAAAACACGTGCAGGCGTCTGTGAGTGACGGTGACGGTATATAAATGCATCATCATTCACTCATAATTACAAATTAAGCTTTTATTGTGATTTAAACTTTAAAAGTACATTAAAATAGAAACAACACAACGTTCTTCAACATGGAATGCAATATAACTGTAGTAACAGTCATTTCCCCAGATAATTGTTTCATATTTGAAACAATTAGGTGAAGGTTGCAGGGCTGCGGGACACTGCGGTTTTTTTTGAGTGGCTTTTGCACATCCTGTCATGCCCGTGACTGCGTGCTGCTGCAATAGACGCATTTTGCTGCATTAAAGTTAACGATTAATCGATTAATTGATCATTAATTTAAACGACGATCGATTATGGAAATGATCGAAAATTGACATCCCTAGTGTGCAATGTTATAAAGGTTTGTTAGACAGCAAAAACATTGAGAAAACACATAATACCCATAATCCCATAGACATGGTTTCCGTAGTGTAGTGGTTATCACGTTCGCCTAACACGCGAAAGGTCCCCGGTTCGAAACCGGGCGGAAACAACCTTTTCTTACCCCGCTTCTCAAAATACTAATTACACTAAGAAAGTCCAGTTAAATACACAGGCCAGAAACATTTAAACATCAAAACATAACGTCAACCAGTAACATAAATACCTGGTTACCCCTTTTCACCCTATCCCTACCAAAAAAAAAATAAATTGAATATAAATTTTTGTTACAGACAATTTAACTGGGATAAAAGTCAGGTATTATCTTAAAAAAGAAAGAAAGAAAGAAAGAAAGAAAGAAAGAAAAAGAATAAAATGGCCCACAGTTGGGACTTCTATATGAACACAGACCAGGACTTTTATACTGAAATCACCATTGGAACTGCCGAACAAGGACTTGAAAAAAATTTTCATGCTAAAGGCTTCATACTACACCTGCATATAATCCAAATATGCCTGGTTTTAACTACGGGGATGATCAGGTAAATTTTACATGGATTTAAATGACATGTATGTGATTTAATGTAGCCTCAATATATATGTTTAGAGATTTAGAGGTTTCAGCTGCATCTCTGTATGAAGCTAATAAAGCAGTTAATTCTGTTCTTTGGTAAATGGTTCATTTAAACGACGTTTATATTATAGAAATCTGTGTTTCAGGGTGAAAACTAAATATGGACGATTTCAAGCTGTTTAACGTTTCATGGCTATTAGCTTAGTATCGGCGGCTTTGGCTCTATTTTGAGAACTCATTCGCATTCTGCCGTTAATCTATTTTAAAGTTTTACTCCTATAGAGTGTTTCAGTATTTTGTCATTCCTATTACATATTCACTTGTGATTATACCGATAGTCTTGATACTGGAACATAAAACGGCTGACGCGAACTAAAGCGAAACTGAGCCGCATAGGAACTGCGCAAAAGTGCGCGGCTATGATGCGCTAGAACACTTGTCTTTGTTTTGGTCAAAAGCCGTTGTTTACACTTGCAAGGATGGCATAGAGATTTACTAATCTGCAGAACATAAACAGGCGTCAGAGTTACGTGCGTATGTTCTATCGATCATATCGGACGCGGGCCTAATTTGACAGCACGAGCCACCCGTTCCAAGAGGGTTTAAGGATTGAATGGCGCATTAGAAATAGAGGTCTCTCCTCCAGGATATGTTAACAGTAGCCACACTGAAATGAGTATCAGAGATAAAGAGCTTAAGATACATTTCAAACCCGGGCACGTTGAGCTTGTTCAGGTAAGACTGTTGGTCCATTTCTAGGAAGCACCTCCATGGTATACAAGCCAAAGCAACTTTAATTCTGACGAATGCCTTATAATTCAAGGCGACCCATTCGGTATCATTTTCTGGTTTAATACAAAAAGAAACACAGATCGTGTGTTATCGTTATGGCATATTTTAAGTTCAGTTGTGACGAGCAGATAAACGCAACTGACGATGCTTGAATTGTTTACCCGCACTTTAAACTATAAACAATATGAGTGCTACCTGAAAAATTATTCAGATAGTGCTTATGATATTTTTCCTTTTCATTTTTGGCTCATTAAAACTCTGAGACTGTGTGTATACAGTGCCATTTAAGCCCTCTGTAGGTTAATTCTATTAACCAGTTCCCTTTTTAAGTGTCTAGGTACAAGTCAGTTGATTTCGAGTTGCAGTAAAATGTGCTCGAAAGCATATATAAAACGGAAAACCAAATTGAATCTGTACAAATTCAACTTCAAATCAGTAAAATGTAATTAAAATCGCATGTCTGTCTAGAGCAAAAATATATCATCTATGCCAACAACGTGTGTAAATAGACTGTGAACATCTATAATGAGAAAACTTTCTACAACCAAACCAAAATCCAACCCAGCTGTAGTTCCACTAAATGTCCTGAGGGTGGCGCTTCAGCGACTAATAAACACCTGCGCTGCAGCTTCAGCACCGATTGCACAACAGCATCGAGAAATTTCGAGTGTCAGCTTGTGAGGCTGCAGATTTCAAACGTTTGCAAACCATGTAATTTACGATTTTTGTTTTAGAGGGTTAGCTGGTTGAGGAAGGTTATAGGAGCGTATGCTCACGTATGAGGCTGTGAAAGCTAATTTAACACCGATGTCATTTTCGAACTGTACTCATAATACAAACAAAATAACTTCCTTTCTGTTACAAATATAAATCCACTAATGTATACTTGGACTGAAAAGTGGAATTTCTTCTAAGAATAACAACCTATACACGGCTAATTTCAATTACCAAGACAACGTCTTTACAATAACAAAATATTAAGTATAAGTTACCTCACACAATGAAACAAGTGACTATCCAACATCTGAGGTAAACTGTATATGCTGTCTAGTATAATGTACTCCGCTTAAAGTCTTAAACTTTAACTTCAGTAGTACAGTTCATCAACACGACAAAAGCTTATTAACGTCTCAAGAACGTTGTAATATCTTACCTTTCTTCGCTTGTTTTGCTGTTTGCAAAGTCGTCACACTAAACCCACTTACTCATCGACAGACACTGGCTTTTTCCATCAGTTGTCATTAAACCCCGCGAATTGATATCGTCTGCCAATGATGTTGTAGGGGCGTGTCCAGATTCTGTGAGGGACGACTCTGATTGGTTTTTAGATTGTCAATCACATCTCGGACTTGATCTCGTTCTATCCAGTATTTAAAATAAATAATAATAGTATAATAAAATAAAAATCTCATAGACACAACGATCATGTGTGTTATAAAATACATCCCATGGATACAATTATCAATTATTAAGAAAATATGCTACTCAGCCAGATTGCATCTGTTTTCTACTACAAACATCTAGATACATACAAAGATCATTTGTG